AAATCTTTTAGCTATGTAGTGCACCGTTTGAACGTTAAAATATGATTAGTTTATATATGAAATAAAATATAATATATAATATTACTACCCTATTTCTAAATAACCCAATTTGACCTAAAGCAAAACTAGTTCATCCGAAAATCCTAGACTGGATTGAGCCAAACGGCTTTATTTTGAACTAGTTTGTCTGGTATCGTAGACATATACATAATTAAATATTTCATACCCTAACTAAAGTGAATAAAAAAGAATATACATTTTTTTTATAAAATAATTGTCTTATATCGCAAAAGAAGTATCACCGCCTGCTCTAAATATGCACAATTTATACAATACTCTCATTTTTTATTCAACTTTTTCGGATTGTAATAGGAGCTAGTTCACTAAAGGGGCGGGATTTTCTTCTCGCTCAAGCACGCGATTTCGTTTTATCCTTTTTTTCTGGAATATAAATAACTGCTCGTCTGTCTAAGTTCAAGGATATTTGGCATACCTAATTGCAATTGGCTTTTTAGATTCATCAACCAATGTGAGAGTCACTAGCAACAAAAGTTACTGTCAAGCGTTATAATGACTGATAAATGATTGGGTTCATACTCTTTCGATACAAAATGGTATAAATACAGCAATAGGTTCCCAATTTACATTGAAATCGCTTAATATAAACGTGAAGTTATTTACTGAACCGAATCATTTGTAATTACAATTTTACGATTTAATCGTTAATGATGTGTCTGCTTACATGTACTCGAATTCGAGTTGCTGCAGACGAATATTTTTCGAATATTACATTGATATATGGTACCGTGAAAATCCGATTTCATTTAAGACGCGTTCTGCTTATCTAGAATTCTCTTTTTGGATCGCAATCTACGAATCTGTATTAACCTGAATTTTTTCGTTAGACCTACAATTTACTGAACAATGTCGTAATTATTAGTTTTTACCAAAATCTATCTAGTCATCACTAAAATAACCTAAGAATATTTTTTAACTCTAGTTTCACCTAGAGAAATGTTAAATCTAGGATAATCGCATTTTGATTGTAACCGGGGTTTCACGCTAACACGTACATATAAGTGATTGAAATGTGGCAGTCGAAAAAGATTTGATCATTTATTACATATTTAATGCCGATGGATTGAGCAATTTTTGATAGGGTCATTTTTAAAAATAATTTTAATCCGACTGCTTCTTAACAATAATAATATAATGGATTAATGTTTGTTTATTTACTTTCTATTGCATCAAACAAGTTTACAATAATCTTCCAGTTTTGGTCTTGCTTATTCGGTCCTAGTCTTGGTCTTATGTGTTAAGTGTTGGTCTTGCTCCTTTAATTAAACTTACGTTCTTTTAAATAATTCTTCTAAGCACAAATTTTTCTTCAAATAATTCGAAATAGTCTGTATTCTGTCGAAACTACCAAACGGGGATCGCGATTTCGATCTTTTTGGATTTCATCAGCACGGCGCAGCAGCCCGACAGAACACAGACCAACTTTTACCTGCTGTCTTAACAGTGCGTTTTAGTTGCCTGCGACGCGCTGATGAGATCCAAAAACATCGAAATCGCGATCCGCGTCTAACAGTTTCGACAGAATACAGACTATTTCGAATTATTTGATTCGATTAAGCTAACGTGCCTATCACGTTGAGGTTGGCTACGTCGGGATTCGTTTTCAGCAAGTAGATATCCACACAAGTGGACCTTGTTGGAGCATACGTAATCCTAAAATGTAGCATCGTGCTTCTTGATCTGTTTTTCCAAACAGTGGTAAAGTTTCTTTCTTTTTAAATTTAATGTTAAAATCTAGTAAAGCCGACTGAAAACTTCAAATACTAAAAATGTTTTGTTCCAAGAAAAGAATATAATAAAGTAGCTTTAAATAGTTTAACTGAAAAATCTGCCGGAAGAAATAATTTTTCGTTAAGTGTTTGGTATTTTGGTCTTGGTCTTGGTATTGCTAGTATNTGGTTATGTGACCCCCTGGGGGGTCACATTAAATGTATTGCTCAATTAAAAATTAACGGCAAAAATCACAAATATAATAGTCACCTTCAGAACCTCCACAGGCTACATGAGCCCATAAATCGCAACTTTGACACTGTACCCATGGCTCTCCAGGTCTGTCATTGCAATAAATGGTTTCGCAGAACATACACGGCACGTTCTCGTTTTCAGGAACCACGTTTGTAAACGACTCGACATAATCGGTATTCACTGCGTCTTCGTCACTTTCAGAGCCACTGCTGAATGTGACCCCCGGGACCATAATACAACCAATGTGAGGGGGCCAAATTACAACTATTGAGAATATTTAAACAAACGTACCAAAAATAATTATTACAAGTCTAATTTTGTATTTACCTCTTAATTCCCGTAGAAGAACAGTTCAACGTATCCAATGTCCGAACACAATACCCAAAACACTCTATTTATAAACAATTACCGAATTAAAATCACAGTACTTTAAAGTTTTACCGGTAACGACTTTCAAATGGTTCGAATGACAATCGAACGTGACAGGCTCTGGTGGATTTGTAAGGTACTAAATACGTATCATGCCCCGAGCATCCCGTAGCGCATAAAACATACTAAATGGCGTTGTTCAAACATTAAAATATTGAAGGGGGCCAATATATCTACAGGGGCCACATTACCACCTTTTCCTCTAAAGTTGCCTGAAATAGTTTAACTCATAAATCCATCGGAAATAATAATTTTTCATTTACCAGGCATATTTGCTCTTGGGGCATGCATATTCGGTCTTGGTTTTAGTCCTGATCTTGTTCGTTCGGTCTTGGTCTTTATCTTCGCATTACTATTGCTTGGGCACTTACCTGCACTCTTTCCTATCCCGAGTCACCCTTCGAGTTTCCCTAAAACTAGAACTATTCTAGGTCTACCTTTATTCGTCGTTACTCCTATTTCTGCTTTTAATATGTCCCTTAGTTAGTCCTTCGTGCCTGAGAAGGTATCCTACCAACCCATCTCGCTTACTTCTTACTGACTTTCACAGCGCCCTCTTTTCTCCTTCTCATTTCTAACCTTCTCTCTTCACAGTATCGTCATCATTCGCCTGTAACACTGGATTTTTAACGGTTCTAATTTTTTTTTTCGCCGTGCCCAGCGTTCAAGTCTCACACCACCCGTATAGAGAACCATGCTTCAGACATAACTTTAACCATCTTTTTCGAATTTTTAAATTACTCGTTCGCAAGCATAGAAGTGACTTCTTTTTGTTAAGCACGTCTCGACCTTGCGTTATCCTTTGTTTTATATCTCTACTGTTCCTTCCATCATGAATTATTTTTGTTTTTTCCATACCATACTGTTTTGTTGATACCGCTTTAACTTTAGACTATCTCTAGCTATTCCTTACTAGATGCTAATACATTATCTGCAAATATATATGTATATATATATATATATACATATATATATGCATGTGCAAAAAATTCAAAAATATCGAAAACGTTGATCGTGGCACTGTCCATGTGACCAAAAGTGGAAGGATTCTTAGACCTAAATCATCATCTAATAAGACTTACCGAGGCATCGGGAAAGCCATTATTTATACGATAATTAGCGTACCTAAATGCAGTTAGCATATGTTCAAGGACTGTACATAAGTAGGTGCCTGTCTAATATCCGCAAGATGAGCATGTTGTTCTACATGCAGGTATATGCATATACATGAGTAGATATGTATGAAGACATTTAGTGAATAAACGTTCGCATGGTGTTGGTACATTCGTAGGTTAGGTACTTAGAAAGTGCACATCTACGTCACTAAGTTTCGGGCGAGGAAAGTTATAAACTTAACTTCCTTTCGTATATAC